GGTGTAGGGCAATAGAAAATACGGTTTGTACAGTATAAAAACCATTACGCCTATGGAGAGTCCCCATAAACCATAAAAACAAACCTGTGTGTGTGTGTAAATGTAATGTGAAAGAGTCTAATCAAATCACGTAAGCTGTATCAATGTATAGCTGAAGAACACACGACTACAAAAATTCCAGTTATGAGTTCTTGAATAGGAATTTGCAAATTCTAAAAAGTGTAAAAATGGAAAAGTAATTAAACTTCCTTTGAGCATTTTTTTTTAATTTAAAGACCATATGTAATTTCTTTAAGAACACATAAAATGCCCCTATTGTCTGCCAGATAAAACTTAGATGGCCTGAGATATCACGTCTGTCTCTCTGCACACAGTTCAACAAAAAAAAAAGCATTGCCCGCCCTTTTTAGCCAATCAGAAACGCGTTCTGCTTTTCAATCATTTGCCGCGTTTCGGTTTGCTAACATCCGGTTTGCTGAGATCTTGCAAGTACTGCTCACTGCAGAGCCAAATGACCCTTGGGGGGTGGGATTTCGGAGGACGTTGTCGTTTGGTTGAAAGAGAAAGAACAAAAAAAAGCTTCAACATTAGAAGGGGTAAAACAGTAATATATGCAACATATAATATAATTACTGACTGTAATATATATATTATACATATATAATAATGATATAGTAATGTAATATATTGTATAATATTGTTTAATCCCTATATTTCAGTAACATACTATATTATTTAATCCGTTTTATAATTTACCACCATAAGAACTTCTCTAAAAGCATAAATAAAAAAAGACCACGTGTAATCGTTTTCGAGGTTATGTTCTGAGATATTAAGTCTTATAAAACCAAATGTACCGGAATTATTGTTTAGATTTATTATTTATAGTATTCAGGTATGTTTTTCTTTTAAACTAGAAATAGGATTGCATACTGTCAGTTTACGTTTTATGAACTTATCGCAGACAGGCTACCTAACAAAATTATATGCCTACTTAAGCATATTCTTAATTACACATTATTTATTCATTTATTTTTGATTATATATCGATCAACGGACAAGTAGCCTATATACAGAAAAAAGTATGTTTGTCATATACTTGTTTACTGAATCTGTTGATCGAGATGTAATTAAAAAATGTGTAATTAAGAATTCTAGGTATACATCTTGTAAATTTACATGTTTCAGTTTATTAGTTTTAAAATAAATTTCTCACACAATAAAAAAATATATATAAGAACTCAACTAACGATTAATAAAATGAACTTAGTAAGGAAAGCAATTTCACCCCAAAGCTGACTTGTTTTCTTATAAACTTGAACTAGTTGGTCAACTTTTTAGTTTAACTTAAAACTTTGAGTACATAATTATTTGACATCTTTCTCTCGTATTGCAAATAAGTAAACGTAACATCATACTTATAGCTTGCTATATTTAGGCTATATATGGGTTTTGCACTTTAAGTATGCACTGAAAAGAAATCTGGTGTATAAGTTCAATAAAAATATGAGCCAATATCCAATATATTTATATAAGTACACATACAAGAATACTACCACTGATAGTAACTTAGAAAATACACTTGAACTAAAAGTATACTTGGGGAATACTAATAAAGAATACACTTACCTGAGTGTGTGAACTATGCTGTTCACTTAAATTTGATGCCAGAAAGATTAAAGCATTATTTTTAAAGGAAGAAAATATTTCTGCATAACAGGATTGAATACAAAGTGAGAGACAACTTAAATGCATTAAGTATTTTATGAAAAAAAAAAAAAACTACATAGGCAATAAAAGTATAACAATTTATTCAATAAAAGACAGAGGTACATATCATCTGATTGCCTTTATTGTATGCTATCCATTAAAATGTATGATGATGAATGAGGGAATGCAAATTGGCTGATATTCTATCAAATAACGTGATTAAAATTTGTATCCTGTTAAGACAGTAAGTCCATCCAGCACATCATAGAGTAGAAAAACACACTGGATTTTCAAGATACATGAAGTGAAAATAACTAGTCTATAGTCTCTGATGGGTGCTTAACTTCCCTATTATAGTGAGATTTTATCCAGAGCTGGGAAACGTCCTTCAAGCCCAGAATAAAGAAAAACATGAGGTTGTAGACATTAATAGTCCTCATCTCACTCAGAAACTCTTTTTTATATGATTTCTTCAGCATTTTATATTCCCATCTTTACAAACACAATTTGCAATTGCAGATTTTCTCTACCTTATCCATTAAAACAAGACATTGAGGCCTCCCTCTCTTTCGTGGAGGACCATTGGCGACATCAAGGCTGATTTTGACACTAGCTAGTTTGTCTCTGCCACTTTACGAACTAGATTTAGCACCATACTTGTGAGGTCTTCCTCTTGCACTTTTTACCTTGGGACCTTCGATGATGGGATTTATGCTTGGTTTTCCAAGGGGCTTTGACTGTCTCCGCTTGCAACCTTGGTAGAACCTGCAGGACGACCCCTCTTTTTCTTCAACGAGCCCGCTGGCCTCCCTCTCTTTCGTGGAGGGCCGCTGGCGGCATCAAGGCTGATTTCGACGCCAGCTTGTTTGGCTCCGCCACTTTGCGAACCGGATTTGGCACCGTACTTACGTGGTCTTCCTCTACCTCTTTTTACCTTGGGACTTTTGGCGATGGGATGAATGCGTGGTCTTCCGAGCGGCTTTGACAGTCTCCGCTTGCGCTGTAAACTCAACCTGTGAAGTCTCTCCGATTCTTCCTCAGGCGTGAGCGGGATCTTTCTTGGCCTACCAGGCAGTTTTATTTTTTTTGGTCGACCACGTTTCTTCACATTGGTCTTTGTGTCTTTGTCAGGTGAAAAGTTGTTCATCTTGTTTGATGGCCTGGCACTGTGTTTCTTGGCAGTGACCTTCTTATTGAGTGACCCTCGTGGTCTGCCCCTTCCTCTTTTTACCTTGGGATCTTCGGCGATGGGATGAATGCGTGGTCTTCCGAGCGGCTTTGACAGTCTCCGCTTGCGCTGTAAACTCAACCTGTGAAGTCTCTCCGATTCTTCCTCAGGCGTGAGCGGGATCTTTCTCGGCCTGCCGGGCATTTTTATCTTCTTTGGTCGACCACGTTTCCTCACCTTGGTCTTTATGACTATGTCGGGAGAAAAGAAGTCCACCTTTTTAGATGGCCTGGCATTGTGTGTCGGCGCTTTCTCGGTAGTGAACTTCTTATTGAGTGACCCTCGTGGTCTGCCTCGTCCACGTTTGGGTGGATGGGTGCTGCCGTTGGGCAGAGGGCTCTCGGTTCCTTCTTTATTCTCAACCTCCATCACGTTGCAGCTTCTCACTCACAACTTCAGGCGTATCAGTGCCACACTCTTCTGTTTGGTGCTGAGAATCTGAAAACAACAAGATGAGAGGGAGAAAATGGTTTGAGATGAAGATACAAGACATTATTTGAATTAAGCACTTGAATTGACACTTCATATTGTTTTCCCTCCAAAACCAGAATTTACAATTTACCACAAAAAAAAAATTTTTGTGCAAATGTACAACAAGTAAAGCAAATTTTTTCTCACCATCTTGTGTACAACTTTAATTATTTTATATTCTTAAAAGAAAACTAATTTTACAAAGATGGAAATGTTCAATAAAATGTAAATAAAACTTAAAGCTGCAGTCCATAAGTTTTGCCTCTTTGTCACCATCTCTGTTTCGAATTTCATATTCAGAAATTCTTTTAACCCAAAAAGCAAATTATGCTCCCTTCAAACTGGTTTTCTTTAAAATACAGATTTTGTGTAATCCCAGGCTATCTGTAATCAGAAGCACATTTATAACTGGAATATAATTTAATTTCATTCACATGTGTTTCATAAACACATAATCCTTTCTGGATTACAATCCACCATCAAAATGATAAATTTAATTATTCCAGCTGATGTGAGAAAAGGCTATAAACGATCCGCCACCTGCAGGATCCTCACATGCATATACAGAACAACTTCTTTATGTTTACAGATGTGATGTAATGACGCAGTGCCATGCTCGAATTTCCCGCAAAAACCTACCCGTACCACTCAAATTAAAAAACATTATTATAAGCTAACAGTTGTGAAACAGGATAAAGGCGATACTTTTGAACGCTGGCTGGTTATGTACTTGCTCAAATATTGATTTCAGATAATTTTTAACCAAAAAAAAGTTACGGACTGCAGCTTTAAATAAGTTTACTGCAGACAACGAAAAAGGAATAAATTAATATAAAACAGATTTTAAGTCTAGGTGAAACAAAATCAATTATTATTTACAAGATATTATTTGTTTGGCACTTAGGACTATTGTGTTTAATTACATAATATTAACCATTCAACAACTTCATTGAATCTATTTATATAGTTCATTCACAACTGATAAAATAATGCTAAAGCCCTATTCGCACGGGATTAGTATTACCTGGTGACCTCCAGTCATTTGTAATAATTGCGGAGGTTGTCTGTGATCTTAATCCCGTGCGAATCGGCCATGTCTGTAATTTGTAAAGTAAAAATTCCCCCACAAATGACCTACTGTATTTCGTCGAACACCGAGGTCCTGTGGTAATATTAGTCCCGTGCGAATCGGCATCTCTGTGATTCGGCCTGCATTTGGCGGGTCGTATATCATTTTTCGAGGTTTTTGTTTCCTGTGCGCTTTTTTATCCATCTTTCGCGAAGAATGGAGCTGCGTTGTAGTGTTTGATAGTATTTTGGGTGATGTTATATCGCTACACCATACAATTTGTAGATAGAAAAGGCTATCTAAGACAAATAAATCAAGCATAAATCTTGAGATACTATTTTAACCTGGTGAAATGTAAATGTCACAGGGCACGAAACTATATTAATTTCTTTTCTTTTTTTTAAATCCATCTGGACCATAGAACGGGACTCTCAAAGCCTTGACATCCGGGTATCCGGTAGATAAGTCGGTAAATTCGAGTAAAATCACAGGCTTCGCTTATCCCGTGCGAATGCACCACACGAAATTCAGAGGTGGGGGGTTAATTTCAAAATCACACAAGGTCTCCAGGTAATACTAATCCCGTGCGAATAGGGCTTAAGGCTATTAATATTATAGTTTTTAGATGATAAAAATCGTTTGTAAAAAAATAAATAAATAATAGTAGTAAAAAATACGGTAGTAAATTAAAATTACGCAACTGAATTAAATGCTGTTTTTGGCTAAGAAAGCCTAAAACAGCTATAAAAAAACTGTACATTAATTATATACACACAAACAAATATTTAAATATAAAAATGCACTCACTAAAAACCATTTTCATAAGAATGGAGGAGATATGAGTTGCATGTTTATTTTTTATATAATTGTGTGAGCGGTTTATTTTAAAACAGACCGAATCGACTGAAGCGCTGTTTGCAGACTCAAGACAATAGAAAAACCCATCTCGCCAACGAATCGGCTAACGTATTGCTAATTTACATCTTTATCACAGCATGAAAAATACTACATCGTTTTTACAACGAGATCTTACATATTACAAAATATCGTGTTTAAATTCAAAATGAGTTAAAAATATACACTATTTCACGCAGTATAACAGGCATAAAGAGCGGATGCTGTAGACTGGCTGCCTTCATGTAACGTTACAGTGAAGCCCGCGAGCTTTTGTAGTTCCAGGTAAAATGTGAGGCACTGGCGTGTTAGCTGCCTGCTAACACGACTAAGACAACGTTTCAATGGAAAAAGAGACTACTTTCATTCGTTCGATAATAGAAAGCGGCAAATATTCGAAACACAACGCACCTTACTCGCGAAGCACTTTCACAACGGCAGAGATGATGGACAGGGGGCGCCTGGGTGGGCGACTGTGATTATTTCAAAGGCAAAATGCCAGTTCTTCCTCGTCTCTCGCTCGGCGTCGACGGTTCGTGGCACAGCGCCGCCTAATCTGGTGGAGAGTGCAAACGTGAAGAATGAACGTATGGGTAAAATTAAATGGGTCCTATTATGCTTTTTCACTTTTTTAATTTTAGTCAGTGTGTAGTGTGTATGTTTGGGCATAAAAAAGATCTAGAAAGTTACAAATCTCAAAGTCCACTCCAAAGGGAGATATTTCGTTTTTTAAAAATCCCTTTTCAAGAACTACAACAAACGGTTCGTTTGGACTACAGCGTTTGTTTTCAGGGCTTTGTGATATCACAAAGCGGCTCATTGGAATATCATTACAAATAATTCCCGCCTACAGAAATTCGAATGGTTGGGGGGTGGGGAGGGGCGAGGTTGTGGTTAGAACGCTTGGTTGAGTGAGCGACGAAGAAGAAGTGCTGCTGTAGAGTTAGTGTGTCAGAGAAAACCAAGAAGAAGAGCTGCTGTGCTGTAGCGTCAAATTTTTGGCATGACTAGAACAGCGGTTCTCAATTCCAGTCCTCGCTTACCCCTCCCGCTCTGCACATTTCGTATGTTTCTCTTATTGCTTCATACGTTTGTTATATTTGACTGTAAGTGCCCTGTGAAGTGGACATTAACTATTTACAGAGGTATATTATGTCCCACTTCACGCTTCTCTAGTGAGTTTCGTATGTGTGTGAAGACGCTGCAAGCAGTGGCGCAGCGCAAATCTGTAAATGAATATTCCGAAGTGAAGTAAACTTCAACGGATTTCCCCTGCTCAGGGAGTAGGGAGCAATGGACACTGTGTAGGGACCATGTCAATCGGAACACAGTTCATGCACGTAGCTCACTTCTACGAGATGATCTGAATCAGGTGTGTTAACTACGGTGGCCGAGAAGTGCAGAGCAAATCACAATTCTGAAAACAAAATAACAAATTACAAACGCAAATGCAAGTCTAAAAAACAAAATAACAATTCAGAAAACACAACAACAATTCAGAAAACATTATAACAAGTCAGAA